GATATTAAAAAACTACACGTTATATATTATAGTTTATAACACGAAAATATAACACGCTATATTAATATTGTATTGTTACATGTAAAAATAACATGCATATATTGCAGTTTACTGAAAAAGTTTTGACATTTGTCAATTTACAAAGATACTTCATATTTTAAGCACAACTATTATTTTTAATAATGGTTTATACTTATTTATAGCATACTAAATAAATCAAAAACTAACATAAAACATAGGATTTATAATTTTGTTACCTTTTTAAATAAAAATTAGAGGTATATTTTCATCTTTCTACGCTAGTATAATTGTTATAGCATGTTATGCAAACAAATAACTTGTTATTTTTACAATATATACATGTAATTTATGCATAACTATTTACTATAATCTAAATATTTATTTATTTTATTATGTAGAAAGTTAGAGGTACCTTTCTATATCTATATGATACACTAAATATTTTAACAAATTAATAAAACATGTAGCTTGTTATGAAAGTCGATAGGATTTAATAGATAAATTACTGGTCTTACTTGGGAAAGAATCCAAAAGTCATAAAAGTAAGGATAAAACAGAGCAACCAAAAAACACACTAAAAACCCCATATATAACTTACAGTTCTTCATCTTCACATACGAAACCCGATTTCGATCACATCAGTTCTCTATACATAAGCAAAAAAATAATTAAAAAATCCAACCACTGGTAATTCGTCCTAATTTTCACCCTTGTTTGTGCAATCAGATATTTCTCCATGTGTGCAACACTAACATCATTACCTTCATCATCCCAACTATAACCTGTCTCCACATACCAACATCTTCTAGAGGTTGGAATTATTAAAATAACTCAACCTACACATGAAATAGATGAATAATAAAACAAAATCAAAAATAACTATGAAGTTAACACCATTTAGGCCATAAAATTAAAATATCATAGACATGCACGAAAACACTTATATGTATATGTTATAACGTAGACCTCTAAGTATACATTTAAATAACTATTTTGGTATATATACGTCAACACTAACTTTTAGATATTCACATATAAAAATAGCTATGCATCTATAATTATAAACAAGTATAAGTGGTACAAAAAAATGTCAAAAAGAGGTACATACCCACTCATCCTGATCAAGTTCCCATAGTTTTTCAAGCTTTAACGCAATCACCGGACGACTTTCTTCATCTCAAAATAACCCAGTAAATGAAACCATAGATCTGTAAAATCGACTGATTCACCCAAAAAACAAAGAACACATAGCGGTTTCAAACTAGATTGAAAACTCGAAGTAATGAAACAATAAAAGGATGAAAAAATCAGAATACATACAAATCTAGTTCCTGAAATTGATTTAAAACTCGGCAATTTGAGATAACGAATAAGAGAAATAGAACAGAAATAAGAGGAGAATTTTGGGAACAGAGAGAGAAGTGAATATATCGATATGCAAAAATCAGATTCTATGATAGC